AGTCTGATGTACGCCCTTTACTAGCAGTGTTATCTCTCTCCTACCGGCTTGGGTAATACAGTCTGATGTACGCCCTTTACTAGCAGTGTTATCTCTCTCCTACCGGCTTGGGTAATACAGTCTGATGTACGCCCTTTACTAGCAGTGTTATCTCTCTCCTACCGGCTTGGGTAATACAGTCTGATGTACGCCCTTTACTAGCAGTGTTATCTCTCTCCTACCGGCTTGGGTAATACAGTCTGATGTACGCCCTTTACTAGCAGTGTTATCTCTCTCCTACCGGCTTGGTAATACAGTCTGATGTACGCCCTTTACTAGCAGTGTTATCCCTCTCCTACCGGCTTGGGTAATACAGTCTGATGTACGCCCTTTACTAGCAGTGTTATCCCTCTCCTACCAGCACGTGTTATACAGTCTGATGTACGCCCTTTACTAGCAGTGTTATCTCTCTCCTACCGGCTTGGGTAATACAGTCTGATGTACGCCCTTTACTAGCAGTGTTATCTCTCTCCTACCGGCTTGGGTAATACAGTCTGATGTACGCCCTTTACTAGCAGTGTTATCTCTCTCCTACCGGCTTGGGTAATACAGTCTGATGTACGCCCTTTACTAGCAGTGTTATCTCTCTCCTACCGGCTTGGGTAATACAGTCTGATGTACGCCCTTTACTAGCAGTGTTATCTCTCTCCTACCGGCTTGGGTAATACAGTCTGATGTACGCCCTTTACTAGCAGTGTTATCTCTCTCCTACCGGCTTGGGTAATACAGTCTGATGTACGCCCTTTACTAGCAGTGTTATCTCTCTCCTACCGGCTTGGGTAATACAGTCTGATGTACGCCCTTTACTAGCAGTGTTATCTCTCTCCTACCGGCTTGGGTAATACAGTCTGATGTACGCCCTTTACTAGCAGTGTTATCTCTCTCCTACCGGCTTGGGTAATACAGTCTGATGTACGCCCTTTACTAGCAGTGTTATCTCTCTCCTACCGGCTTGGGTAATACAGTCTGATGTACGCCCTTTACTAGCAGTGTTATCTCTCTCCTACCGGCTTGGGTAATACAGTCTGATGTACGCCCTTTACTAGCAGTGTTATCTCTCTCCTACCGGCTTGGGTAATACAGTCTGATGTACGCCCTTTACTAGCAGTGTTATCTCTCTCCTACCGGCTTGGGTAATACAGTCTGATGTACGCCCTTTACTAGCAGTGTTATCTCTCTCCTACCGGCTTGGGTAATACAGTCTGATGTACGCCTTTGTGTAGCAGTGTTATCCCTCTCCTACCGGCTTGGGTAATACAGTCTGATGTAGGCCTTTTTGTAGCAGTGTTATCCCTCTCCTACCAGCACGTGTTATACAGTCTGATGTACGCCTTTTACTAGCAGTGTTATCCCTCTCCTACCGGCTTGGGTAATACAGTCTGATGTACGCCCTTTACTAGCAGTGTTATCTCTCTCCTACCGGCTTGGGTAATACAGTCTGATGTACGCCCTTTACTAGCAGTGTTATCCCTCTCCTACCGGCTTGGGTAATACAGTCTGATGTAGGCCTTTTTGTAGCAGTGTTATCCCTCTCCTACCGGCTTGGGTAATACAGTCTGATGTACGCCCTTTACTAGCAGTGTTATCTCTCTCCTACCGGCTTGGGTAATACAGTCTGATGTACGCGCTTTACTAGCAGTGTTATCTCTCTCCTACCGGCTTGGGTAATACAGTCTGATGTACGCCCTTTACTAGCAGTGTTATCTCTCTCCTACCGGCTTGGGTAATACAGTCTGATGTACGCCCTTTACTAGCAGTGTTATCTCTCTCCTACCGGCTTGGGTAATACAGTCTGATGTACGCCCTTTACTAGCAGTGTTATCTCTCTCCTACCGGCTTGGGTAATACAGTCTGATGTACGCCCTTTACTAGCAGTGTTATCTCTCTCCTACCGGCTTGGGTAATACAGTCTGATGTACGCCCTTTACTAGCAGTGTTATCTCTCTCCTACCGGCTTGGGTAATACAGTCTGATGTACGCCCTTTACTAGCAGTGTTATCTCTCTCCTACCGGCTTGGGTAATACAGTCTGATGTACGCCCTTTACTAGCAGTGTTATCTCTCTCCTACCGGCTTGGGTAATACAGTCTGATGTACGCCCTTTACTAGCAGTGTTATCTCTCTCCTACCGGCTTGGGTAATACAGTCTGATGTACGCCCTTTACTAGCAGTGTTATCTCTCTCCTACCGGCTTGGGTAATACAGTCTGATGTACGCCTTTGTGTAGCAGTGTTATCCCTCTCCTACCGGCTTGGGTAATACAGTCTGATGTAGGCCTTTTTGTAGCAGTGTTATCCCTCTCCTACCAGCACGTGTTATACAGTCTGATGTACGCCTTTTACTAGCAGTGTTATCCCTCTCCTACCGGCTTGGGTAATACAGTCTGATGTAGGCCTTTTTGTAGCAGTGTTATCCCTCTCCTACCAGCACGTGTTATACAGTCTGATGTACGCCTTTTACTAGCAGTGTTATCTCTCTCCTACCGGCTTGGGTAATACAGTCTGATGTAGGCCTTTTTGTAGCAGTGTTATCCCTCTCCTACCGGCTTGGGTAATACAGTCTGATGTAGGCCTTTTTGTAGCAGTGTTATCCCTCTCCTACCAGCACGTGTTATACAGTCTGATGTACGCCTTTGTGTAGCAGTGTTATCCCTCTCCTACCGGCTTGGGTAATACGGTGTGATGTACGCCTTTGTGTAGCAGTGTTATCCCTCTCCTACCGGCTTGGGTAATACGGTGTGATGTACGCCTTTGTGTAGCAGTGTTATCCCTCTCCTACCGGCTTGGGTAATACGGTGTGATGTACGCCTTTGTGTAGCAGTGTTATCCCTCTCCTACCGGCTTGGGTAATACAGTCTGATGTACGCCTTTTTGTAGCAGTGTTATCCCTCTCCTACCAGCACGTGTTATACAGTCTGATGTACGCCTTTTACTAGCAGTGTTATCTTTCTCCTACCGGCTTGGGTAATACAGTCTGATGTAGGCCTTTTTTTAGCAGTTATCCCTCTCCTACCGGCTTGGGTAATACAGTCTGATGTACGCCTTTTTGTAGCAGTGTTATCCCTCTCCTACCAGCACGTGTTATACAGTCTGATGTACGCCTTTTACTAGCAGTGTTATCTTTCTCCTACCGGCTTGGGTAATACAGTCTGATGTAGGCCTTTTTGTAGCAGTGTTATCCCTCTCCTACCGGCTTGGGTAATACAGTCTGATGTAGGCCTTTTTGTAGCAGTGTTATCCCTCTCCTACCGGCTTGGGTAATACAGTCTGATGTAGGCCTTTTTGTAGCAGTGTTATCCCTCTCCTACCGGCTTGGGTAATACAGTCTGATGTAGGCCTTTTTGTAGCAGTGTTATCCCTCTCCTACCGGCTTGGGTAATACAGTCTGATGTAGGCCTTTTTGTAGCAGTGTTATCCCTCTCCTACCGGCTTGGGTAATACAGTCTGATGTACGCCTTTTTGTAGCAGTGTTATCCCTCTCCTACCAGCACGTGTTATACAGTCTGATGTACGCCTTTTACTAGCAGTGTTATCTCTCTCCTACCGGCTTGGGTAATACAGTCTGATGTAGGCCTTTTGTAGCAGTGTTATCCCTCTCCTACCGGCTTGGGTAATACAGTCTGATGTAGGCCTTTTGTAGCAGTGTTATCCCTCTCCTACCGGCTTGGGTAATACAGTCTGATGTAGGCCTTTTGTAGCAGTGTTATCCCTCTCCTACCGGCTTGGGTAATACAGTCTGATGTAGGCCTTTTGTAGCAGTGTTATCCCTCTCCTACCGGCTTGGGTAATACAGTCTGATGTAGGCCTTTTGTAGCAGTGTTATCCCTCTCCTACCGGCTTGGGTAATACAGTCTGATGTAGTCTGCCTTTTTTGTAGCAGTGTTATCCCTCTCCTACCGGCTTGCGTAATACAGTCTGATGTAGGCCTTTTTGTAGCAGTGTTATCCCTCTCCTACCGGCTTGGGTAATACAGTCTGATGTAGGCCTTTCTGTAGCAGTGTTATCTCTCTCCTACGGGCTTGGGTAATACAGTCTGATGTAGGCCTTTTTGTAGCAGTGTTATCCCTCTCCTACCGGCTTGGGTAATACAGTCTGATGTAGGCCTTTTTGTAGCAGTGTTATCCCTCTCCTACCAGCACGTGTTATACAGTCTGATGTACGCCTTTTACTAGCAGTGTTATCTCTCTCCTACCGGCTTGGGTAATACAGTCTGATGTACGCCTTTTTGTAGCAGTGTTACCCCTCTCCTACCAGCTTGGGTAATACGGTGTGATGTACGCCTTTTTGTAGCAGTGTTATCCCTCTCCTGCCAGCTCGGGTAATACGGTGTGATGTACGCCTTTTTGTAGCAGTGTTATCGCTCTCCTACCAGCTCGGGTAATACGGTGTGATGTACGCCTTTTTGTAGCAGTGTTACCCCTCTCCTAGCAGCTCGGGTAATACGGTGTGATGTACGCCTTTTTGTAGCAGTGTTACCCCTATCCTACAAGCTCGGGTATTACAGTGTGATGTACGCCTTTTTGTAGCAGTGTTACCCCTCTCCTACCAGCTCGGGTAATACGGTCTGATGTACGCCTTTTTGTAGCAATGTTATCGCTCGCCTACCGGCTCGGGTAATACGGTCTGATGGACGCCTTTTTGTAGCAGTGTTATCCCTCGCCTACCAGCTCGGGTAACACTGCTACAAATAGGCGTACATCACACCAAGGAGAATAGATGACGCTGTAGATTATCCCTGATCAGACCGAATCACCCTCGAGAGAAGGATACAGCTTATATTATTATACATATCTTAACATCACTCTTAACAACAACAAAGAATAAAGTTCTGCACTCTGCTACTGAGATATATACATATCAGAGAATGCATTTTCATGTATATTATATGAACTCCATGGATGTACTACAGGCATGTACTACAGGCATGTGACCTTCTCAGTGCCTAGATTAAATTAAAGTCATTAACAGATGTTTATATGCACATGTATCTATTAAAACTTTCAGTTATCTTGGGGTTATTATTTGAAATTACTCATAACTGTAACCAAATAATCAAATGAGAATTTTTTTACAGACTATGTTTGATGATTTCAGATGAGCCACCGGTCAAAATGTATCAGAAAGATCATGGAGGTAACTCGCTTATGTTTCTTCCAGTTCAAAAGTCACACAATGACCGATCCTGATGTAGATAGTTAAAATTCGAAATTTCGATATACTTAGTAATCCCTTTAAAGTACCGGGTAATATGTCCTTGTGTTGATGTTCTGTATGCGTGCAATGTTGAATTCCTGTCATTTATACTTGCAGTGCGACCACACACCTCTGTGAGAGTAATAAAGAAGATTGTTCTGGGCATATGCAGGCCCCAAGACACAATAGGTACTTTCATCTCATTTATATGATACATGTTCTTGGCAGTTATTACATACGTATCTATTGTCTTGACAATTGTAAGCTCCAGCTGTCACACAAGACTAACTGTGCCATTTTAAAATTACATAGACATCAATATGATGTAGAACTCCAACGATAGCATTGCATACCAAAATTGTTTTCCCAAGTCTTTCTGCTTTATTTGATGCTTAGACCGATCCATCTACCTAGCTTTCAACACTTGGGATTTTGGGCCTTGAACTTCAGTTCCAAGCCAGATCCGAACTTCCTCCCATCGGACAAACAGGTCGCACCAAACTGAAAGCAAACACAAAAACGGTAAGTGAACCAGTCGTAAACAGAACAGTGTAAGTTTTTTGTGTTACATTGCAATATCCAACAATTGGGTGTTGAAAGTAATTCATTATTTTAACGAGCATCCCAAATTAATCTTTTTAAAGAGATTCACTTGCCGTGCATATATATATTTGCTTTATATTTCAGGTCAGAGACTTATCCTTGGGGATTCCCTCTCCCGGGAAATTAGAGGAATTCCCAACTGCAAAGTACTTGGCCATCCTGGAGCCACATTACAGAAAATAAATGTGTTTAAAAAAATATCACGCCATTTTGTTACATGTAGGTACGAACAGTAGTTTACCATTTCATGCTGATCGTTTTCAATCTCAATATTTTAATTTAATAAGGTCTAAAAAATCGCTGAACCCTGGTGCTGTGATAATAAACTCTGTCAAAAAAGAAACGCAACCCCTGTCCTCAGATATGAAAAATTCGTTTGAATGAAGTTATTGCTTCCAAACTAAATGTTATTCGAATGTATTGAAATTATACACGTAATTAATGAAGATTACCATCCAAACAACTGCATTTGTACGCATAAGTGTATTTTATTGCTTATTCCGTCACAACGCATGAAATGACCCTCATGGTGACTTCGCACAAAAAAAAAAACACATGCAAATCATGAAAATGGCAGTTAATGTAGGGGTGTATAAAAGCCCATGTGCTTTCGTATTATATTCATTCATTTGTCGCATGAAAAGCTGTGTGAAAAATGCCACGATTGAGTGCTGCCGACCGAAATATCGCCATTGGTCGTGTTCAAGCCGGAGAAAGTTTTGGAACTGTTGCACGGCACCTAAATGTTCACAAAACAACGATATCCCGACTTTGGAGCCGCTACAACAACTTCAATTTGACCAACGATCGCCCGAGAAGTGGAAGGCCAAGAATCACGACCCCCCTTCAAGATCGGTACATCCGGGTCCATCACCTGCGTAATCGGCATGCCCTACCAACCGTGACTGCCACACAAATACCAGGTTTGAGGAGAGTGTCAGCTCAAACGATTAGGAACCGTCTGAAAGAAGCGGGTTTACGTGCCTGTAGACCAGTTGTTGGACCTGTACTACGCCCCCTACATCTCCGCCGACGACTCAGGTGGTGCAACAACGTAAGGATATGGACTTTACAAAACTGGAGGCGCATCTGGTTTTCTGATGAATCCCGTTTTCTTTGCAACATCACGACGGAAGAAAACGTGTGTATAGGAGACGTCATGAACGTTTTGCGCCCATCTGCGTCCGACAGGGGGACAGATTTGGCGGAGAAAGCGTTATGGTTTGGGGATCCATCTCATACAACCAGAAATCAGACTTGGTGATCGTTGAAGGGAACCTGACAGCCCAACGTTACATCAACCACGTATTACAGCCTCACCTTCTCCCGATTATTGACCAACAGACACAGATTTTTCAACCAGACAACGCCCGGCCTCATACTGCACGTGCAACAATGAACTTTCTGCAGAATTCCAACGTCAATGTCTTGCCATAGCCCTCTAAATCACCAGACCTCAACCCTATTGAACACCTGTGGGATACTCTGGGTCGACGCGTACGTCAACGTCAGCCGCCGCCACAGACGCTGCAACAGCTCGGCGTTGCACTGCAGGAGGAGTGGAGAGCCATTCCCCAGGAAAGAATCCGGCGTCTTATCCGTTCTTGTCCAAGGAGATGCCGTGCAGTGATTGCAGCTCGTGGTGCTCATACGAGATACTGAGAAAGACGCCCCCCTGGTGACAAACTGGTGTCTGTGAGATGACTTTTGAAATGACAATTTTAAACATGCCCATCTTGGTTATTATTCTGCCAAATTTCAGACTTCTGTCTTAAATAATAAAAATGCTGTGTCGTCTTAAAACTTCAGATCAAAATCTCTAAAATACAGGGGTTGCGTTTCTTTTTTTGACAGAGTTTATGTTGTGACATCATTCCACGCACCAGGAATTTCAGTCAAACACGGGGCTGGTAATCCGTGCGAATAATATAAAAAGGCATGTGAGCACGGTTCTCGGATGTAAGAATGCATGAACATCTAAAAGATTTCTTTATATTTGGAAACAGGTGAACCAAGGCACTATTTATATCATGTCTTTCAGTGGCATTTAGAAGTTGTACATTGATGTCCAAGATATTTTTATGGATTAAACTTCTTTTTAATTTCTCTCACGACATTTCGAGACCATTCCAGGTCCCTTCATCAGGTGAACTGGCAGTTAAGACTATGACGTCGTCGCTATGACGTCATAACTGAGTTATGACGTCACAATGCAAGTGACATCACAGTACATTAGGGAGACTACTGTATAAGTGAGTTTGAAGAGTTAATTACATAATGATGAAAATTCATGCTAAATAATAGAGTTGAAAGTTGAATTGTCAATACACAACAACTGCTAATTACACAAAGGTTACTTGATAGCAGGCTTTCCAAAAGATTTATATTGTTCGGACGGATTACACCTTTATGATAAAAGGGAAATATCAGCTGAAAAGGTCATTTGACCAAGCATTGTCACATGACCACAGATAAACAGCTGATATTTCTATTTATTTCCAAATGTAATTTCATATCTGAAGAAGTTTGATGATCCATTTTCGGTATAAATTCAGATTTGATAAACATCTTTCCGGTTTTAACAATCAATATAACCTTGCATCTTGCAGTATCCATCAATGTTCTTTTGGTCGTTCATCACTCCACATTAGTGTAAGTAATCTGAATCAAATCGTTGAAATGTTTGTTTAGTACTTTTGATTTACCTTTCCCAGGGAGAAACTATATAAAAGATGTTTACATCTGATGTTTTTTTGCATGGCAATAATGACAGTACACTGGGACAAAAGCCACAGCTCGAGTACAAATCTTTATTTATTATCTATGTCAATATTTTTTCGCCGATGCAAACTTAAAATTACTTTGCTACGTTGGACTCATTTATATTAATCTTTATTCGGTGCTTAAAAGTCCACACGCGTATAACACATTTATACACACAATATTTACAACTGTACAGAAGAAAGGCACAGGTCAAATATTTACAAATTACAACTTTAGGAGATATTTTCTATGCATAAATGCAAATAGATATACATTCACAGGTTCTGTAATTGCTTAGACTAAGTAGTTTCGTTTGGTAATAGTATGGTCATTTATATTTCATTTGGATGGGTATTATAAGATGTTAAATATTCCTTTCTAAGCTTTTCATAGGCGGGGCAGATAAAAAGAAAATAGTATTCGTCTTCTTCAGCATTAACGTTACAGAGGTTACAAATTCTATGATTACAAGGAATATTGATATAACGCTCAGTTTCAACAAACAAATCATGCGATGAGCAGCGAGAACGTGATAAAGCTACCGAATTACTTTACAGTGATTTTTTATAAATAATATTCTTGACACGGCTCACCTTTTTCCTTGTTTATAATACAGACATTTAGAAGACAGCTATATTGATTCAAGGGTGTTTGTTGATAGATGTGTTTCATTTTCTTTACTCTGTGACTACTACACTCGTCATGTAATGTGGTGCTACATGTGCTAGATTTCAAGCATCTCAATGATTTTTTGTAAAGAATCATAAATATTCAAACCCCAGATTTCAGATCCATATGATAGTATTCGGCTTACTGTAACATCAAATATTATAAGGAATGATTACGTTGACATTTCCCTCCAAATTACGAATATTTCTAACTACATTTAACATAACAATTTAGGCGTGTACAGTTTTGCCTTTTTTGTCTAGTTAAAACAAGATAAACTATCAGAATTAACAGAATATAAGATATTCATACACGTTTGTAGTTTCTACCTTTTCGCCTCTGTAAATGCATTTCTCTCTATTTGAAAGTTTCCCAATCAATCTTAAAAACAATAACCGTTGTTTTACTCCTATTAACTTCCGAATTCCATTCATCAGAACTGATTTCAAGTTGATCAATTTGTTTCTGTAGACCACTTATGGTGCTAGAAAATAAGACAATGCCATTCGCAAAGAGTAACAAGAATAATAGACTTAACTCAGAGTGTAACTGGATGCCGTCTGGACTTAAAATACAGCCATGTCTGACACCTAAGTGGCTAATGACATTTTCTGAGACTGTATTATTGTTTCTTACACATACTTTGTCATTTCCATATATACTACGTAACATTTTATTCATTTTTTGAGTATTTTTTTCAGAAATGCTGAGATGTCCGTCTACATTTCATATGCAGACCATACCTTTCCATCTCTTCCCAATATATTCTTAAAAATCGCCGAAAACTGCAAAAATACATGTCATCCCAGCGGGGAGTATCATATACATGTATATATAGGGCTGCCGTGGTCGAATGTGCGTGTAGGTGTTTTGGAAACAGCGGCCGCATCAACACTACGGCGTTGAACTAAGACTCATTGCATGTTTTTGGTGAAATGCTGAGATGTCCGTCTACATTTCATGTGCAGACCTTACCTTTCAATCTCGTCCCAAAATATTGTGAATGTGCGTGTAGGCATGTTGGAAACAGCGGTCGCATCATTCTTGTAAAGCTAGATTGCCCTCGAATATAAAAAATAAGATTTTGGTTAGTTTTATTTACTGGATGGATGTGCTTTTTAAACATCTTACACTATTTCATCCAATCCCAGCTGTGACATGTCTCTGTCTCTTCAGTTGTTTGCATACGGTCCTCGCTCAGGGAGCATGTGATGAGAACTAATTTATAGTCTGTTTGCAGTAGAAACGTACCTGTGAATTTCAATTTCTTGGTATCTCCCAGTTTCAATATATAAATTATGCACAGAGCAGGGGAATCTCGCCAGTGACGATTTATATTTCCTTATGGTCAAAACTGAAAGATAAAAGATTCCATATTTACAGACCGTTACATTTCATATGTAGTACATTATATCTTTAAAAGGTCTGTCATAGATGTTTGCTTGCTTGGTTTAATTTCTTCAAATTTCTTCCCTAAGTCTATTACTAAATTCACCGAACCTTCGTCGCCAACAGCAAACTGTTGTCATGTTCACGAGCTGTCGGTTTCCACGACAGTAACTTCATCCACGTACTGATCAGCAGTTTGGACTTCGTCGACGTCACTTCGTGGTAACTGCTGCATCACTTTCCGCAGCTCAGCAAGGGGGATGTCATCATCGTCTTCGTCCTCGGTCTGAGCTGTGGTGGGCATTATGTCAATGTTTTGTACCAGTTGGTGATACACTTGGCAC